CTATTTATTAATGAAAGTAAGGTGCCCATTTTAACCTCTCTTTTGTCCTTCTCGTCTCTTAAGTTCATCAATTCAGTTATCTTCTGATGAGCCTAAATTGGTTTGGTTTCTTGCTCAATTAATCTCATTAGGTCTAGAGGCAATATATATTCCTCAGAATCAGTTTCACTATCAAGTTCATCAGTGTTAATTGAATTTTCAAAATTAACCGCTTGATTGTTATCAAGATTATCCTATATTCATTTAAGGACTTGAAATTGAATGAAATTGTATACGTTGGTAAAATGTGTGGAGAAAATGAAAAAATGAGAGCAATAGAAGAAATGAATGAAAATGCATCCTTCCTAATTTTTATTGAAATAATAATGAATAAATGGATCACACATAAAAGATCATCCCAATGCATTTGGGCATAAGCTAATGGGATGTACAATTATATTGAAATGGTCTCATGGATAGTAGGCATTTTAATGATGTTCTAATTGTTCAACTCGTAACCTGACAGATAAAGATGGACCCATATTTCTTGTTCATGCCCTTTTTTCATTTTTAATTGCATGAATGGACAACTCAGTGCTTCTTAAAGTCTTCTCTATTTTCATAAAGCACAATTTGGTAAGAATCCATAAGCTTTTGTACCTCTTTGTAAAATTGCTCATAGGTTTCAATAGAGTGACCAGAAACCCCATTATGATATTTACAACTTTTCTCTGATACATATCCTCCATGATAATTATAAGGATCCACTAGTTATATCATATCAGTTTCATACAAAATATCAAATAGCTTATTGATAAGAGTCTTGATTTCTTCCATTTTTTTTTCACATGATGCTTCCGATCATCACTTAGAGCATTCACATTGTGGTTAGGCAAAAGATTACCACTAACATTTGGCATCATCGTTATCCCTTTTGTATCAAATTTTATTATTCCATCTTTGATCAATCATTGCTATCATAATGTATAGATCTGTGAACCTACCACTAGACATGGATTAGAGGAGTCACCATCAATCTTTTTTATTTAGGAGTAATTAGCCACCTAATTGAATTTGATCTACAAAACAGATGTTGGGTATGAGAGTCGATTATGCATAGGGAAGGTTTTAGCACCCTCACAGCACCTATCCAAAGGATAGTACTAGTTTCATTTCAAATTATCCAAGCCTTGATCATTTTGATGATTTACCAAAAAATTTAATATTAAAAATTAACCCTAAAATTGTCCCAACAGTTTGGTAGTAATTTAGGGTAATTTTCTCACCTCAGGAGTATTCATGGAGACTAGTGTCCCACTCCAAAAAGGCTCCTCGTTGGATTTATTAATGTACTTTTATTTAGAAAAATTACTAAAACCTCCCAATAGTTTGGTAGGGTTTACTTCAAAGCAATCATCCAATTGTTTAGAGGATAAAAAAATTATTTTTATTTAAAAATAATATTTTTTTATTTATATTTTTTAAAAAGATTTTTTATTTATCATTTTTTTACTTTTTTAATTATTATTTTTTCTTTTTTTTTTACTTTATATTTTTATTTTTTTATTTTCTCTCTTTTGGAAATAAAAGGGGCAAAAATTCCTCTCTTTTTTTGAAAAAAATAAAAACAAAGAAAAAAATAATAAAATGGGTTAAAATAAAATAAAATCCAAAAATAAAAATAAAATGAAAAAGGAAAAACTTGTGATCAGGTCATGTCAAAGTGCAGGTCGTCGGGTCTGCACGCAGATCCTGGTTGTTCCAAAATGGCGTCATGCTACAATGGTATAAAAGCTATCCTTCAGCATTTTTCCTTAGAACCCATCGAGCTCTTTTTTCTCTACCCTATGTTTCCTCTACCTTCTCTCTAGAAATGCCCACTAAAAACTTCAACCAGGGATCAAAATCTTACCAGTTTCTAGAAAGGTTGCTGGGAAATTCAATTGAAAAATTGGTGGCCTACCAGTTTTTAGGAATTTGGCTAGATTCTAGAAATCTTGCCAGAATCTCACCAAAATTTCATTTAAAACTTTAAACAGCCATTGAAAAATTCGGTGCAAACTTCATGTTCTTCCCAAAAACCCAAAAAAACCTGAAACAATTAAAAAAATCATAAAAAATTCAAAAAAAATTCCTAAATCATTCTAAACCTTCCTTGAACCTCCTTCAACTTTAAATTCACCTCCAAAAACCTAAAATCCCATTAGAACTATGAATCAAATCCAAAATTCCAATTTTTGAATCCTAAAAACCCTTACTACTAAAATTTTTCCAGAATTCCCCCAAATAATTCCCTCTATGTTTTTTTTTTTTTATGTTTTTCGTAAAAATTAGTCCAATTTATAGGTAGCTTTTAGAGTGATTTAGGAAACAAATAGAATCAATTCCAGGCTTGAATCTTGGGATTGCATTTTGTCTAGTCTGATTTTTGGTCCAAAATCCTAATGATTTGATCTTGAGTTTGACCTAGGGATTCTGATCCCAGTTTCATTATGCACGTGTGGATTGGAATAGAAATGGAAAGTAGTAAAGAAGGAAAAAAGAAAAAAAAAAGAAAAAAAAAAAATAATAATAAACAAGTTATCCACTTAGGTTTGGACCTAAATGGGCCAACTAGGCTTGAACATTGATGGGCCCAATCGAGTTCAGACCTCAATGGGCTCGAACATAAATAGGTTCTACAGCTGCCCTTCTTTGCATATGTTTGTTAGACAAAGATGATGCAAAGACCTAGACACTTGCTTTGTTCAAGTCAAATTAGAGAGTAAAACCATCCGGGGGTGAACCTCGAGTTGAAAGTAAAATGATATAACTTGAGCTGATGTTGAATGCCGAGGACAATGCTACAAGTTAGAATACGATCTGACCAAAGCCTAGATCAAATAAATGATTAGGACGATGTAGCAAGCCTAAAGGTGACCAAGATCGAGTTTAGGTTGAAAATAAATGACCAGACTGATGTCACGGGTCTGAAGATGATCTAACTTAGGTCGAGATCAAATGATTAAAATGATGCCACAAGTCAAAATAAAGTGACTACGATCGAGTCGATGTTGAAAATAAATGACCAAACTAATGTCGCTAATCTAACAATGATCTGACCTAAGTCAAGATCAAATGATTGGGACAATGCCGTGAGTCAAAATATAGTGATCAAGACTAAGTTGAGGTTGAAAATAAATGACTGGATTGATGTTACGAGTCTGACAATGATCTGACCTGAGTCAAGTTCAAATGACCAGATGATATCGCGAGTTAAAATAAAGCGACTAGGACTGAGTAGAGGTAAAAAATAAATGACTGGATTGATGTTGTGAGTATGATAATGATCTAACCTGAGTCGATATTAAATGGCTGGGACGATGTTGTAAATCAAAATAAAGTGACCAGGACCAGATCTAAGTTAAAAATAAATGATCGAATTGATTCATGAGTCTGATGATGATCTGACTTAAGTCGAGATTAAATGAATAGGTAGTGCAAGTGCATGTTGTATGCAAATGAAACATCAATTATGGTACTAAAGTTTTTGTGTTCTCATTTTTGCACACCTTTAGTAGAGAAACCATCTTCCATTATCTAGAATATTTATCTTCACTGTAAATTTTAGCGAAGAAGTCATCATGAATACACATATTTGGCAAAGAAACTATTTTTCATCAATATGGAGATGCATCTTTGGCAAAGAAACCATCAGCCTAAAGGCACATTTTTGGTAGAAAAACTATTTTCTTCATCCGCCTAGATGTTTATCCTAAGGAAAGCCATAAAAGTCAATTTTTTTCTTTTTTTTTTGTTGTTTTTTTAAGGCATTCATCTTTTGCCTTTATCTCTTTTAATTCTTTGAGGTAACATAGAACATTTTATGATTTTGTTCAATTATTAATCATTATCCCAATTTTAAAGTATGAGGATGCAAGTTATGCATTTCTTCCATTCATGGCAAATATAAAGAGGAAAGGCAATGTATAGGATTAAAAGAATAATAAGATAGCTTTCATTTATTTAGATAAACAATAAATTACAAATGATGGTATAGAGATAAAAGAAGAGTATTTAAAAGTAGCTATTTGGGGTAGCAATACCCCAAGACGAATTATTAGATAACCATGACAACAATCTTGAATCTCTTTCAAAAACTCAATTAAAACTTGATGCCCTAACTCTTTAAAGCTCTTTGGAATTTACTATCTCTAATATGCCTTCCCAAGTGATGCCAATTCAAGCTATCTTTCAGAGTTTCAATCTGAACCTTTTTCTTTAGATCCAAGTCACCCTTTTAGGTTTTTGACTTAAACTTCTCTCTTTTTTTTTTTTTGGGTTCAAATTGCCCTTTTAGGTTTTTGATTTGAACTTTCTCTTTTTTTTTTTTTTGAATCAAGCAAAGTACTTTTTTATTACATTAGAATTGATAAGACCAAGAAGTTCATCTCCATCCATTTATGATAAGATCAAATCTCCTCTCGAAAAAGCTTTTTTTTTTATCATATAAGGCCCTTTCTAATTTAGAGTCTATTTTTCTCTATCATCATGCTAACTTGGAAGAATCCTTTTCAACACCAACTCTCTTCATCGAAACTAATGAGGTCTGACCTTGTTGTCATGAACTTTTATCAATCTTTTTTGGTACAATTAGCCATGGCATAGTGCTGTCAATCTCTTCTTCTTAATAAAGTTTAATAGCTCATAGTGCTTCTGAATCCATTCAGCTTCTTCTAATCCCACTTCTTTTAGGACCCTTAGAGATGAGATTTCTACTTCTACTGGCAACATGGCTTCCATCTTATAAACCAAGGAGAAAGGAGTTACTCCAGTAGAGATGCACACCAAAGTTCGATATGCATGTAGAGCACAAGGTAATTTCTTGTGCCAGTCCTTATATGTTTTAGTCATATTCTTTAAAATCCTTTTGATGTTTTTGTTTGCAGCTTCTATTACCTTATTCATTTTTGGGTGATATAGAGCTAAATTATGATGTTTGATTTTGAACTGAACACATACTTCCTACATTATCTTGCTATTCAATTTCTGTAGATTGTCTGAGATGATTTTTTTGGGAGCCCATATTTGTAGATTATTTCTTTTTTGATGAATTTGTAGATCACAGATCTAGTCACAGTTGTGAAAGAGACAGTTTTGACCTATTTAGTGAAGTAATCAATCATCATAAAAATGAATTTGTTTTCTTATGAGGCCTTTGGTATGATAGGCCCAATGACATCCATCTTTCACATAAAAAATGACCAAGGTGGTGCTATGACATGCAAAGGATTAGGCGAAGCATGAATCTTGTCAGCATACATCTGGCATTTATGACATTTTTAAGCATAATTGATGCAATCTTTTTCCATTGTCAACTAGTAATATCCAGCTAACATAACCTATCTTGACATCATATGCCCATTTGTATGTGCTCCACATGTGCCATTGTGAACTTCTTTAATAATCGTTTTGGCCTTAGAAATACCTACACAGCGTAATAACACTTGGTCCTTACCTTGTTTGTACAAAACTTCTCCGTCTAGAAAGAATATCATAGCCAACCTTTTTAGGATTCTCTTATCATTTTTTGTTGCTTGATCTGGGTATTGCTGATTCTTTAAATATCACATAATTTCATAATACTAGGGGTTGCCATCATCTTCCTCTTCCAAATTGGCATAATATACTAGTATGTCTTTGATATATAGTTAATGGGCTAAATTTTTACAGTATCACCGATTCGTACCATTACAGCTAAGATGGCTAAGGCATCTACAATTTGATTTTCTTCACAAGGTAAGTGTTCAAACTGGATTGTTTTGAATTGTTTACACAACTCTAAGATATATTTGTGATAAGGAATAAGCTTTGAATCTCTTGTTTCCCATTCACCTTTTAGCTAATAAATGACTAGAGCTAAATCTCTAAACATCTTTAATGTTTCAATTTTTCTATCCAAAGAAGCATGCAATCCCATGACACAAGCTTCATACTCAGCTACATTTTGGTGCAGTTAAAATTCAACATTGTCGTAAGAGGGTAATAATGTTCTACTGAAGATATTAAAATTGCTTCAATCTCGTGCCCTATGGCATTAGTGGCCCCATCAAAATACATCCTTCATATTTCTTCATCATCTTTATCTGTTTCTAATTTTGAGATGGCCATTAGTTCTTCATCTAAAAAATCAAGCTTCATGGGCTCATAATCATCAGCGACCTTGTTTGCCAAGAATTCAGTAATGACATTTCCTTTGATTGCTTTTTGGCTCACATATACTATGTCATATTCAGAGAGCATCACTTACCATCTTGCAATTCTTTTTGACAATGAAGGTTTCTCAAAGATGTATTTAATGGGATCCAATTTAGCTATGAGCCAAGTTATGTGGTAGAGCATGTATTGCTTGAGTCTTTTAGTTGTCCAAGCCAAAGCACAACATATTTTCTCTAGTGACGAATACTTGGACTCATATTCTATAAATTTCTTGCTCAGGTAATAAATAGCTTTTTCTTTCTTGTTGGTTTTATCTTGTTGGCCCAGTACGCATCCCATAGAGTCCTTATATACCATTATGTACAGAATTAGTGGTTTTCTCAAAACAGGGGGTGCTAATATTGAGGGATTTGATAAGTACTGCTTGATCTTATTGAAAGCTTTTTGACATTGTTCATTCCATTCTCTAGGATTATTCTTTTGAAGGAGTTTAAAAATAAGGTCACATTTAAAAGTGAGTTCAATTTGCCCAAGAAACCTCGAACCGCCTTTTGTGTACTTAGTGGAGATAAATTTTGGATAGCTTAAATTTTATCTAGATCCACTTCTATCCCTCTTTCACTAACTATAAATCCTAACACTTTCCTAACCTGGCTCCGAATGTACCTTTGGTTGGATTCAATTTGAGTTGAAACTTCCTCCACCTTTTAAATAATTTTTTGAGGTTGACTGCATGATCTTCTCCCTTTCTGGATATCGTAATCATGTCATCCACATACCCCTCAATCTCCTTGTGCATCATATCATGGAAAAGTGTTACCATGGCCCTTTGATAGGTTGCCCCAGCATTTTTTAGTCCAAAGGGCATGACTTTGTAACAAAAAATCCCTACATGGTGATAAAAGTGGTCTTTTCCATGTCGTCTAGAGCCATTTTTAACTGATTATAGCCAAAGAATCCATCTATGAAAGAGAATATTGAATGTTAGGCTGTATTATCCAACAAAGTATCAATGTGAAGCAGAGAAAAATTGTCTTAGGGCAAGCTCTATTCAAATCTATATAATCTACATACATCATACATTTCTATCTTTTTTAGGGACAAGTATTATATTAGCCACCCATTCAAGATATTTGGCCACTTTTAAGAAGCCTGCATCAAATTACTTTTTAACTTTCTCTTTAATTTTCAACAGCATCTCTTATTTCATTCTTCTTAGCTTTTGCTGCACCAGTTTGCATTTTAGCTTCAATGGTAGCTTATATTCTACTATTTCGATAGGCATATTTTGGTAAGACCAGGCAAATACATCCACAAACTCTTAGAGTAACTCTTCTAACTACTGACAGTCAACAACTAAGTGTGAAGTATCAATCTTGACTTTTTTCTTGTTTTTCGCATCACCAAAATTGATCAATTCAACAACTTCTTGATGAGGCTTGATAGATTTATTTTCTTATTCAATTAGCCTTATTAAATCTAGAGACAAAGGTAATCCTCAAAATTTTTATAGTATCAAGTTCATCGGTATTAATTGAATTTTCAAAGCTAAACCCTAGATCATTGTCATGATTACTTTCACATTCATTTGGAGACCTAAAAATTAATAGAATAGGAAATATTGGCAAAAACTTTTGATGGGGGTGAAGAATGGAATGGAAGAAATGAACAAAATGCATGCTCCTACTTTTATTGAAATAATGATACATAAAAGGCCCAAATGTAAGAGTTCATCCTAATGCTTTTAGGCATAAGCAATTAGTAAGTGTGATTACATTGAAGGAAAATAAGAAATAATAGGCATTTGGATGAACCTCCAATTCTGCAATTCATATCCTTGGTGGGCATGGGTAAACCAAGGCTTTCTTATCTTGATTTTCATCATCCACCATATGAATGGATAGCGTAGCAAAAGCTTTTTCCCATTTTGGTTCTTCTTTTGTATCCTTTTTAGCTTCCTGGTGCATGTATCCTCCAAGAATAAAGGTTTCATTCAAATGGGAAAAGATTATGGATTCTTCCTTTACCTTTTTACTATTGTTTTGCATTTTTTCTGTTTCATAACCCAATCCAGATTTATAATTGTAATCTTCAATTTTAAGAATCTCTCTTATCCCTTATAGGCTTTTACCTAGGTTGAACCCGATACTCCAATCCTTGTTAACCATTTGATTGATCATAATCTGACTGAATTTAAGCCCTTTATCTATTACATTAACTGGTTCAAAGGATATGTATGAGCACTCTAATGATTCTTTTACTGCTTCCACATATGGGGCATTTATGGGTTAGGGTCACCAATAAATCTTCCTTCTCGACCATAATCACCAATTGCCCTTTGCATTAAATTTGATTTTTTGATGCAATAAAGAAGGGATGGTGCCTACCTTATGGATCCATGGTCTTTCCAATAAGCAGCTATATGATGAAGGATATATCCATGACCTAGAATTTTATATTGAAGACACATGGTCTAATCTAGATGGGCAGTTCAATATCTCCCAAGACTTCTTGCCTAGTCCTATCAAATGCTTAGGCCACCATCTGACTGTCTTAGATATGGGACATATCAAAGGGTAACTTAGCTAAAGTGGACACCGACATGACATTAATAGTGGATCCATTATCAATAAGGACCTTAGCTACTATGTGGCCTTTACACTTGACAATGATGTGCAACACCTTAGCGTTTTTTCTACTTTCAAGCAGAATTTATCATTGCTGAAAAAGATATGATGTGGCATCACTAGATTCCCTACCAAGTGATTCACATACTTTATAGATACATTATAAAACCACATAAGCTTGATTCAGTACTTTTAACAAAGCATTACGATGTGGTTTATAGTTTAGGAAAAATGATAATAAAGAAAATTTGGCTAGCATCTTATTCAATTGCTTCACCATAGAATACTCACTGTGCTTGATTAGCTTTAAAAACTCACAGGCTTCTTTTTCAGGCACAAACTTTGGAGTATCTTTCACTGGGATCTCAATTTAGTTTGCTTTTCCTTTCTTTTTTTTTATTTTTTCAAAGTCTCTAGAGTATAACATCTTTCACTTCTAGTTATGCTCCTTATTCCTGTTATTAGTAGTTTCAGCTTTTGGCCTTTACTGCCCTTGAGTCATCATCTCACATTCATATCTCTAAGGCACTGCTTTATTATCTTTATAAGGAAATGGGTGGGGGACTTTAAAAGCTACTGGTTTGGGAACCAATTGATTGTGGCTTTTCCTTACAGCGTATAGTGGTAGGTTTTGGCACCCGCTATCTGTCATAGCCACCCTAATATATTTTTTAAGGCTTTTGATTCCTCATATAACTCTATCTAGTAAGAGTCTATTAATTTTTGCACCTCCTAGTGAAGTTGTCACCATTTTGTCAATAGAATGCCATGAAGCTCATACAATCAAAGGTTTTGCCATTAGGGATGCATCCTCTCTTATAAGTGTATGGAGTCATTGGTTGTATTAACCCAACTTCATATAAGGCATCATAGAGCTGGTCGAATGACATTTTAATCTCCTCTACCCTTTTTTTTTGCTTGCCTTTTGTCTTTGTCTAGGGTGTTGACTGTATGATTGGGGCAAGGGATTTCCACTAACATTAGGTGTTGAGCTCCCACTGGTATCAAAACTTATCAACCCCTATTTAATCAAATGCTGCACTTTTTGTTTTAAAGAAAGGCAATTTTTGGTGGAATGGCCCGTTACTCCATAATGGTAGTCACAATGAGCATGGAGTCATATCATTTAGGATATGGATATTCAAGTTGTTTTGTAGGAATGGAGGCAATCAAGTGGTTTTTGTAAAGCTCTTGGTATAGTTTGGTATAGCTCATGGGAATCGGGTCGGCTTTTCTTTATTTCATGATTCTTGTGTATCATTCTTTAGGTTAGTGGGATGAATGGAGGGCTTAAAAGAGAATAGATAATAGGGTCGTGGAGTTGACTGGTGGAATACAATAAAAACATAACTTGTAAGGGAATGATATGTGGGATAAATTGGCTGAGGATAGCTTCTAAATTGCTGCCTGTCGAAACCCATAGCTTGAATCTCATTTTCTTTTTTTTTGGTATCTTTTTAGCAAAAGACTCTCTTTATTCTAATTTACCATTCTTGATTGTATTTTTAATAATCTCCCTTGAAATCACCATGTCGATAAAATTCTTAGTCATATTCCCTATCATCTTCTCATAGTAGGGCAACTTTAGAGTGCTTACAAATAGCACTATAGTTTTTTTCTCTGTTAAGGGAGGTTGGACCTAAGCGGTAATGTCTCACCACCTTTGAGCATAGTCTTTGAAAATTTAGATGCTTTTTTCTGCATACCTTGTAACAAAAGGCAATGAGAAGCCATGTCTATGATATAATAGCATTGGTTAATGAAGGATTAAGTCAAATCCTTTCATGACTTAATGCAAGTCCTATCCAGCTTGACACAACACCTTGTAGTAGACCCGGTTAAGCTATCCTAGAATACATGCATTAACAGTTTCTCATTGCTGGCATGTGCTGCCATCTTACGATAGTACATTGTGATATAAGTAATAGGGCACTTGGTACTGTCATACTTATCAAATTTTGGTACCTTGAATTTCAGAAGAATCACAACATCTAAAACTAGGCAAAGGTTGGCAGCATCCATGAATCCATAGAAATCAATGCCCTCTACAGCCTGTAATCTTTCTTCAATCATACTCATGGCTTGATTGGTCTTATAGTCTTCTGGGGGTATAGCCGTCTATAGCATTTCTTTCTCTTTTGTCTCATCCATTTTGGGAATTTGGATTGGCTCATCTACTTTTTTAGTGAAGATAAGATTGCTATAGCTTTGAACATTCCCTTGATTAAAATTTGAGAATATGGTCTGTTATTGATGAAAGCTCGGAGTGGTTTG